AGTAAATTTGCATTATTTTTGAAAAATCGATATTAGCCATCCCCTACATTTACTTCCTTTTTTTGAAAAGTTTTTCTTTACTTGTGAAATAGTGTGATATACAGTACCTCTATAACAATTTTAGTTGAGATTTAAGAACATAGTGAACATTTCTAACTGAATTTCAAACATGCACAAAAACTTACTTAATTATCATATGTCATATGCAACAATAAGAAATTTTACAAAAGAACAAAATCATTATACATTTATCTACATAAAAAAATTAAGAAATTCAGAAAAGAAATTGTTACATTGCTGTGCATGTAATGTGTTAAATATGAATATTTTTTGTTTGATTTGTGTCTGTTTGTACATGTTCACTGACTCACTTGTTGCTTTTTTGGACAGTTGAAGATTATGCCAATAGTGATAGAACTATAAAAATGAAGTAATGAAAATTAAATGCTAGGAGGAGATAATCAATTATTATTTAAGACAGCATAAAGAAAGGCTAAAGTCTTAAAACCAATAGATATTTGCTGTTGACTAATGAGAAATGTAAGGGTTTAATGCTTTGTTATATTAAGAGAATTACTTAATTTTAAACTGCGATGAACCAAGGATGAGCAATTCTATATGCAGATTTTTTCCATATGTATAAAAACTGTAAACAAAGAGAGGAGAAAGTTATTTTGAATGTACTTATTTTTTTATGAAAAATAGCATGGTATATTAGTATTATTTTTTTTTAATGTGTTATCATGGGAATTGAGCCATTGATCTCTCATTGCTGTCTTGCTTTATAATGGACTGTACAGTGTTAACAATAGATGTTTTTACTTGGCCCAGAAGAACCTGTGGTAAAAAAACTTAAATGATTCCAAAAAAAATTATAAAGGTAATCTGGGTGTTACTCTATTTCGTTATACCATAAGTTTCTTTCAACACTCAATGTCTTTGCATTTGTATCTTAGATTAAATGAAAAGGAATTTGCCACACTCTTAGGAAATTTAGATGAAATAGTGGATTGTCATGGAACATTACTGGATGAACTTGAAAGCCTGAAAGAGTAAGTACAACACTGCATACAGTCACAAGATACAACTTATTAGTTAACTATTTTGTTTTGTATCTGTCATTTACTCGTACTGTTGAGTTATAGTGTAATTATTATTAACTTCTGATCAAAGCAAACTACCAATGTAGATCAGAACTAAAAATTAACCCAGTAATTAATATTTCTAATTTAATGAGTGGGTTAATTGATGAAAATAGTAATTTAATAATATGTTAACATAAATAACATTGGGTTAAAAAATATTTACCCTAATACTGATGTGTTGTCATAAATTAAATTAATGGAAAATTACACTTCACCAGCTTAATTTAGTTCACATCGTAACAGTTATTGTTTACACAGTTTGATAATATAAATAATATGTGTCTGTTGTATTCTATCTGGCCTGAAAAACCCTGGTATTGAGCTAAAGGCCTCATCAGTACTGAATATAGCAGATGTGTAGTGTGGTTGACATGTTATTATACACTGTTCTTTACTTTCATTCAGCTGGGAGTACAATTTCACAAAACTAAAACTTATAATGATTAGAATGCATTCATATGTCAGTTTCTTATTCTCACCAATAGTGTTGTTTAGGCAGTCTTCCAATTTTGCTTGATCCCATACGATAGAATGATCAGATGTAATACTGTTGAGCCATAGCTAATTTGTCATGTTCTCCTCTAATCAGGCATTTTTGGTTGTAAATTTTTATTAACAGCCAAGAAACGTTTAATTTGTGCAGTGTATGTTTGCTTACATTAACAAAGTTTCATGGATACTCTAATTTTATTTTCTCCAAGCTGATCTTTTCTTTATTTAATTTGATTAACTGGTTTAAAAGTTGCTCAGAAATTATTTGTACTATTAAAACATTACTTTTCTCAAAAAGACTAAATAATATGCAATATTGAAATGTTTATAAATAGAATCAATTGATTTTCATTTATAATTAGTTTCTGAATAAATTTTCTCTTATACATAGTTAAAAAACCTCTGTTAATAGCCACTGATTTTAAGTATGATATATATTTTTCTTTTTTTAAATCCTTCCTTATCTAAATGGAGTTTAAACATTCTATAAATCATAGTGTTATTTATAATTGTTTTATGAGAAAGAGTGACTCAATCATGATTGGGGAAGCAACCTCACATTTTTCTCTATACTTTTCTGTTTGTATTTTATATTGCAAATTATTTTTACATAGAACAAAGGAAAACAATTATTTTTTTCAACGTTATATGTAAACTTAATATATTAACTTTGCAGCTATTCAAAAATTATAAAATTTATTAATATACTTATCTGTGAGTATCAAAATAAATAAGTAATTTAAATAATGTTGATGAAAAATTGGTTTTACAGGAGCATTGGACATAAAATCTTTCTCAAAATAATCCATATTTGGATTTGTTTGCTAAATTTTATAATTTCAAATTTCATTGTGAGAGATAGTTTTTGAGTTTCAATTTCAATAGAAAGGTCTTGCTTTCTATATTTTTTCATCACTGTTATATAATGTTTAATATACTTGGTGACAATGTAAATCTTGCATGTCAATAAACACAATACTTTGAGTTGAGGTAAATGTCCTGATGATTATTGGCTGGGTTAGTATAAGCATGTCAATTGTTTTTAATTTTGTGTATGTAATCTTAGTTTATTTCACTTTTCTTGCTTAGT